GGATGCATTTTTGTGAGGGACACAGGCACATCACTAGCAAGGCACTGGGAAGATCTCACCTGGAAGATCTGCCCGAGCATGCTGTTTTGGAGACATGCCTCCAAAATTGTGCAAGGAAAAGAAGAGAACTGCTCATGAGTGTAGACTGAAAATTAGGGTGGTCTCTGAGTTAGGAGCTGGAACTCGCCTCTTGTGTCAAATATGTTGGTCTTTATGAGAAGATTTGAAAGGAGGCATTCAGCTGGGCCATGTGTGTGCCACATGCATGTGTTTGCTACATATGTGCTACACTGCACGTTTTGCTGGTAGCCTGCAGGGATCAGGAACAAATTTATCTCCTTTGCTATAAACTTTGGCAGCTGAGTTGTTGGGTTATTTGATCCTTCTGCAGATTGCTGTGGTTGGAGACAGAACACAGGGCACTGTGTTTTCAGTTATATTCAAGCAACTTAGGCATCACTGCTAGGGCTGGGGTTTTAAACTAATCACTAGGCTTGGGCTTAAAATAACTTCTCCAGGCCAGAGGCAGGGAGGGGGCATGGATGATGGCCCACACCCTACACACGTCTGTCCCAGAAGGATCAGTTACTGGTGATGCTCTCCAGCCTATGAGGTGTTCAGGAGCCCTGATGGTTTGTGCTAGGGTGGGTGATGGAGTACCATGTCCAGCTCTGGAGGCCTCAGTACAAGAAAGATGTGGACCTGCTGGAGCAGCTCTAGGGGAGGCCACAAAAATTATCTGAGGGCTGGAACACCTCCCTGTGAAGTGAGGCTGAGAGAGTTGAGGTTGTTCAGCCTGGAGAAGAGAAAGCTCTGGGGAGACCTTATTGCACCTTTCAATACTTAAAGGGGACCTATAAGAATGATGGGGACAGACTTTTTAGCAGGTCCTGTAGCAATAGGACAAAGCGTAATGGTTTTAAGTTAAAAGAGGGGAGATTTAGACTAGCTATAAGGAGGAAATTTTTTACACTGAGGTTGGTGAAACACTGGCCCAAGTTGCCCAGAGAGGTGGTAGAAGCCCCATCCCTGGAAACATTCAAGGTCAGGTTGGATGGGGCTCTGAGCAACCTGATCTGGTTGAAGATGTCCCTGCTCACTGCCGGGGGTTGGGACTAGATGGCCTTGAAAGATCCCTTCCAACCCAAACCATTCCATGATTCTATAAGGCTGATGTTGGGCTTGAGGTTAACCCAAGTGCTTCATTTCCAGCAGAAAGGAGACATTATGGACTGTGACAGAGTTTCAGCAAACACAGCCCAGCTTCCACGAAGGGCAAGCTCAAATTCTGCCCTGAATCAGCCTTTCACCCCTCTTGGTTGCCTTCCTCCCACAAGACTACATCTTTTGGCCAGTGAAGTCCTGTGCAGGAATAAGCACAGCCCCAAGCTGGCCCACAACCAGGTGGAGTGGCACAAGGCTTGGGGGCCATGCCAGCTCAGCCCGGACCACCGTGCAAGAGCATGTTCCCAGCAGTGCTAATCCAATTACAAAACAAACTTCCTTCCTCCATTATCAGGGTCTGCAGCACGCTAAAGCAGCTTGGCGATTATGGAGGGCTTAGCAAGGGACTAGAGATCAGGCAATGAATGACAGAGCTTTCAGTTGCAGGGAGGAGGGACAGAGAACAGAGGCAGCTGGGAGGACACAGGGGATTGCCCGGACAAGTGGATTGGGAGTTGTTACAAACAAAGGTCTCTGGTCAACCTTCATGCTCCCAATAGGGTCGACCTCAAAGCCACATCGGGTTGCTCAGGCCCTTGTCCGTCCTGGGGATTAGCATCCTCAGGAATGGGGATCTCCCCCGTAACCTCTCTAGCTCTGTCACATGGCTGACTCCCCATTCTTATTCCCAAACAACACTAATTTCAGTCATGGGACAGCAAAAGGTAGCACTAAAATACCCTTGCAAGAGAGATTCAGTCCAAATTTTCTAGGGAGCTCCTGATCAGCTCCCATCAAAAAAAGAGGATTCAATGCACCAGCCAGACCCAGAGTCATGTACTTTCTGTGGAAATCCCAAAATGGGACCTCCTCAGGTCCAAACAGGACCCAGTACCTGCTTGGATCTGCCCCATTTTAGATCAGGTCAACCCTAACCTGATGTAAAGCTGCGGGCTGGCTCTTTACTATGGCTCTGTGTCCTGCACCCTGCTCCTACACCTTTCTCATTGGACCTCCTCCAACACGAGGGCCCACATGGCACTGGAGGGTCCATTGGGCTGGAGGCATTGCCTTCAGTTTGCAGTGAATTTGCAGCCCTCTTCATCCCTGGTGTCCAGTCCCTCCTGGCTATGCTGTGAATTGGTGGGGAAAAAACCTAGGTGGGCTTAAGGGCAGTTCTACTTCCCTCCAAAAAAAGCCCTTCTTGACTCTGATCAATGCTAGCACTTCTTAGAGCAGAAGGGTGGACTAGAGACCTCCTGAGGTCCCTTCCAACCCAAGTGAACATATGAGTGTAGCCAGCAGGTCAAAGGAAGTGGTTATTTCCCTTTATTTAGCATTGGTGATGCCACATCTGGACACTGTGTCCAGTTTTGAACCCCAAGCAGAAGGAGAGAGTCCTGCAGAGGGTCGCTAGGATGGTCAGGGCTAGAGAACATGTACAAGGAGATGCTTGAGGAGTTGGGCTTCTTTAGCCTGAAGAGAGGGCTGAGGAAGGATGTAATCACCATAGGGAGGATTGAGAGCTCCTTAGCTGAAGCACTTGGAAACAAAGCCCAGCTCCAGAGCAGTCCTGCTGGTCTGTGACTTTCTGGGGAAGATAGTGAATGCACACAGATCTCACACCCCTTAGTGCTCAGCAGGGATGCCCTTGAGATGGAGCCAGGTTGCTTGGGCAGGATTTCATCGTAAGCCTGAGAGCTCACTGGTAGAACCAGCACAGGCTGCCAGGCAGTTTGCTCCCTGCTAGTTTCTCGAGGAAAAAGAAACACAATATGTGGAGAGACTCTCCTGTGCCTTTGTTCCCCAGCTGCATGGACCCTAGAAGCCTCTGCTTTCCCAGCCACAGCCCTGGAGAAAGCAGAGCATCCCCCAGGGATGAGCTCTGTGCTGGAGTCATCAAGGCACAACAGGGCTGTGAAGGGCCCTTGAAGCCTTTTACAGGCAGTAAGGGTATCTAAGGGCACCTCTGCAGATTTCTACGTCTCCAACCCTTCCTGCAGCCTCTGGTGTGGGACTGCTGGGAGAAAAAACCTTCAGCTGGAGTTGCCTCTGTTCCCCTGGACAAGATGCCTGGATGGAGAGAGGCAGCTGGGAAGCTGCCAGCAGCCAAGCAGGGATGTAAGGAAACACTGGGCGCCCGACGAGCTCAAACCGCTGCCTTTTAAGGAGCGGCAGAGGCTGCTGAGGCATCCTGGAACACACCACCACAGTTTCTGCAGGCTCCCAACCGCGGCATGCACGCCAGGACCACGCTGGCCCGATGGTGCCTACAGTAGCTCAGAACTAGGATGGGCCCAAACCAGCAATCCACCAGCTACAGAGTCTGGAAAACCCCAGAGCTCCAGATGGTAGAGCAGTGTTCCCGCTGTGGCTGCAGTGCTCACCCAAGCAAGGTCACCACGGTCCCATCAACCACCTCCATCCCCCGCAGCAAACCTGCAGGACCAGCTCCTTCCTGGGAGCATGCAGTGGAGAGGATGATGCTTTTTTCACAAAGCCTTCATCAAGCCACCGCTAACACATCCCACCAATGTTCCAAGAGCTTTGCTCCACTGATGGAAAAGGTTTTGCTGGTCCAGCAGCAAATTTATCGCTGCCATCCCCTCTGCTGAGGACCACCCGGGGAGCAGAGGGGAAAGGGAAAGTGCTGCAGGGGAGTAACAGTGAGACTGAGCTTAGTCTGATGCATGGATGGAGGAAATGTATGTGCGTGGGTACAGTAGCAAGCAACACCAGGAGCAAGGTTAAAAGGCAAGGTATGCATTAAATGCTACAGAGCAAGCTGGCCCAAAGACAAGGTGTCAGGAAGACAAAGAACAGGACTGGAGCCACTAAATAACCAGAGGAGGAGAACAGGAGATCTGAAATTCAGAGATTTTGCCTTAGACTTAGGAGGGCTGAAGGAAAACAAAAGATCCCAAAGAGCACTCCCTTCTACAGGGAATAACAGGCAAGTTCAAAATAAGCTCAACGCTGCCTGCAAATGGTCCCAAAGACACAGCGAGGACATGACCACCAGCATCCCTTGTCCAGTGTCTTGGGTAAGTGAGTTGGCTGGACCACTCGGGCACCCAGGTCTCAGTGTATGCAAGAGCAAAGCAAAAATCAATTTGCTTAGAGTTTCTGTGTAATAAAATCCCCCTCCCCACTGTTTTGCGACATCAATTCCCCACTCGAGGTGGTGGAATGTGGGTGCGCGGTCCCCATGGAGCAGATGACCATGCACCACTTTATTAGGCAGTGGTGCTGCACATGTGGCCGAGACCGGTCACTATTTACATTTGGCAAAGGATGGCGGCAAGTACCGAGCACCCATGTGGGTTGAGGCCACCACTGGTCTGGCACCCTGTGCCCCGCTAGCCCCAGGCAGGCCCCTGCTTGCCCCCCACCAGCCTCCTCACCTGCGGGCACAGCCATTTCATCTCCTGTGGGCAGAGCTAAGCACCCTCATGGAGGCACCCCAGGCCTGTTAACGAATAATTTCTCCCCCTTTTCCCAAACATCACCCCCCCCCAGGCCTCTCCAAGGCCCCAGCTCCAGCCCTTTCGTCCTGAGCATTGCCAGGAGGCAGGCAGCCAGCAAGTCCCACTCAGCTCCTTGTGTTGGGGGTCCCCCCAGCACCGTCCCAGCAGCCAAACTGGTGCACAGGAGCCCCCCAAGAGAGCGGGACGAGGGGTCCAGCTGCAGCAATCCCCAACAGCGCTGGCCATGCCCAGTGAGCCACTCGCGGGCTGCCAGTCCAGAGCCCGTCCTCAGCACGGCAGTGCTCGGCACTGCGGACGGGCCAGCTTTGGGTGCACCAGGCCTTGATCCCGGCTCGTGGTGGGTGAGGACTATAGGGTACGGATAGCCACCGGGTAAAGCAAGGACATGTGCTCAGCCCCCTTGATGGGCAGCTTGCGGCTGGCGTAGTGATGAATGATCTCTGGCACGCTGTCGAAGGGTGGGCTGTGCTGACCCAGCACGTACTTATTCTCTTGGGTCCGGGACAGTTTCATGTGCATGAAGCCCTGGCTGCTCCTGCAAGGAGAGATCAAGGCAGAGTTAGGGGGTGCAGGTGGCCCCAGTCTCCCCTCAGCTCCTGCCCCCCCTCCCTTAGACAGGCAGCCTGCCCGTGCAGCTGAGGGGGATGCTGCTGGCTCCTGTCCCCAGCCACCAGCCTGGCCACACCATTAGGAAAAGGTTCTTGAGGCAGAGGGTGGTGGAGCACTGGAACAGGCTCCCCAGGGAGGTGGTCATGGCACCAAGCCTGACAAGATTCCAGAAGCATTTGGCCAACATGTGCCCTCAGACACATGGTCTGAATGTTGGGATTGCCCTGTGCAGGGCCAGGAGTTGGACTGGATGATCCTGGTGGTTCCCTTCCAGCTCACAACATTCAATGATTTATGATTCTATCCTGCTCTTGGACAACTCCAGATAAAGCCCATGGCACAAGGAAGGAATATGGCCAGCCACACTGCACTATGTCCCCTTCAGGGACCATGACCATGCACTAGGTTGCAAGAGGTCCATCCAGGGACAAGGATGGTAACCAATGCTGGGGTGGGTGCGTGCAGACAGGGAAGAGGGGGAACAGCCTAGGCACGAGCAGCGGGGCTGTCGCTGTAGGAGAAGCAGCTTTCAGCCCTCATACGTCGCAAGGCCCCTTTTGCAACCGCCTGGCTCACGCAGGAGGAGAGTGGCTCACGTATCCCCAAACTCAGTGTGGCAAATCAGGATTTTCTCCTTTGGCCTGCAGTCTGTTGCCTACCCGCTCCCCGCCCCACACCAACACTGCGGGCTCCATAAAACCCACTCAGCGTAGCAAGGCCATTTCCCAGCATAGCACGGGCACTGAGCCACGCAGACAGATCCTGCCACGAGCACTGATTCCAAGTGACGGGCTAATGGCCCTGTTGCTATTAATTTGTGTCTCCGAGGAGAGCCACAGCCTGTCTGCAGCGTCTGGAATGCACATTACGGCAAAATATTGACGACTTAAAAGCAGACAGGACCTCATCAGCAGTGCTGAGCTGCTTCCAGCACTGCTCAGGCCAGTCCCATTCCCCCCAGCTGGAGATGGTGCCCATAATGGACAGCCCAGCCACATTAGCAGAATGGGTTTGCAATCCATTTAGCGATGAAGCAGGGAGCCAGCCGCCCCAGGGGAGGGCACGGGGAAGAGCTGCAGCCCCCCCGTCAGGGGCAGAGGAAAAGTGATAGGGGGCTGCATCCTGCGTCCCAGCAGCAGGGTGCAGGGAAGAGCTGGGGACCTCGTGAAGGTGCCCAGGTTTATCCTGTACACACACACACACATACACACACGCGCACATGAACATGCAGGGCTGCCCATGGATGCTGTCCTTGGCACTGCAGACAGACCCAGCCCTTGCTTCGTGCTGGCAGGGGAGAGATGCACAGGACCCCAATGCAGGATTAGTGCCGGTCCAGAGCTGGAGCACTGCCCCATGGGTCCACAGAGAGGTGATGCTGGTTGTGTTTTGCCCAAATTGCTCCACAGGTCTTTGTCACAAGCTCAGGGACGTGACCTCAGACCCCTGGAGAGATGCCTGCGGGAGCACACTGCAAACCTGACAACCTGGCAGCCAGCAGCAAGGACGGGATAAGGGGCAGGTACCGCTCTTGCCAAGCACCTTGCAGACATGAGGAAGGACCCAAGCCTTTTCAGCGTGGCCTTAGCCACTCCCACAGAGGCAAGAGCCAGGAGGGACTCATTCCCTAAGTGTTTGAGGCAACAACACTACAACTTTGCCCATGACAGGCAGACAACGTGGGGCTGCCCTAGCCTGGACCACCCAGAATTGTCACGACAGGGTTAAATCCTTCTGGCTACCTGACACGCTATGGGTGCAGCTGCTCCTGCTGCTCTCTCCTGCATATTTTCCTTTAAAGAAGCACAAAGGGCTTTAGGTCAGCACTGGAGCTCTCTTTCAAACCATCTCCTCGGCACAAAAAAAAAAAAAAGAGTTCAAGAAAAGATAGAGAGAGATGCAGACAGCCAGCTTACAGCTATATAAAAAGCATCCCAGGGGATTTTCCTTGAAAAGGCTCTACAGAGAAAGGCAATGGAGTAAAAATCACGTTCCCAAGGCTGTGGGATCTCTGCAAGAGAGGCAATACCTGAGCAGCTCCTGGATGGGCTGCAGTCTGCTCTGGGGAGGTGGTACGCTGCTGCGAGGCCACTTCTCAGCTGCACATACTGTTCAAGAAGAAAATTTGGCCATTTTTGCCACAAGGCTAAGGATGGGCAGTAAGTAAGGAAAAAAATCCCAAATAAATGGGTGACTGGCTTGTAGTGAAGGAAGGTGAAGGAAAGGGACACCTGTACTGGCGAGGGAAGAAGCCCCATCCACAACCCCAACACCACCACCAATGCTCTCCAACACACACGCTGGCTAATGCCACCCATGAGGTGATGGCTGACCTCTCACAGCCTCAAATACGGCTCATCGACCAGCGGAAGCTGTTGTTTCAAAATTGCTCACAAGCCAGGGCAATGAAAAAATATTCAAACATCAGTAAAAATTCTAACAAAAAAAGGAATTGAAGGAGGTTTTCTGGAAAGGCTTGTTGTCTGATCTAAAAGCTACAAGTGCAGAAGGAAGAAAAAATATTTTCAGCTAAAGATCTTCCCTGGCTTAACACTGAAAGCAACAAAAAGCATAAAAAATATATAGAGAGAGACAGAGCAATCTAATTCTCAATTATGTCCCTGGGAAATAAACAGGGGAGGCTGAAACCACTAGGGAGCAATGCAGATACAGGGACCACTGGGAAAACTTAAAGTACATTGAGAAAACTGTAGGGATACGTGGACTGTTGTTGGACAGAGGCAGCTCAAGTCCTCAATAAATACTTTTTTCATATCTGCCAGGAATACAGCTAATGTACTCATCCAGCAGGAAGGCAAGAATGTATTTGCTAAGCCATCTTTATCTTCAAGACAGTAACAACTTTGATTTTGTGGGTTCAGGCTGTCCCAAGAGTCCTGAAAGAGCTGGGTATGGGCAGCTTCTCCCTGGCAGGACACTTGCAGCAATGCTTCATGAAATTCTGGCACTAAGGGAATCTGGAAAACTTAGGGACAGTGCAAAGATCTCCCTCCAAAACCCAAGCAGAAACCAAGCCATGGTATGGGGGTGAGGTGGAAAACCAAAGCAGTGTAATGGTCTCTCTACAGCACGGCTGAGCAAGGGCGTCAATGGTTATGTGGGCCAGGGAGGCAGGGATGGGTACCCACATTTCCATCAACAATGGGATCACACAAACTTTATTTTCCCATGAAACTAAGCTAAAAAAAAAAAAAAAAAAAAAAAAAAAAGGAGTAACAAGAAGCCAGAGCTGGAAGCTGTAACCAAATGCATTCGAATGAGCAGTGAGGCACATCATTTCATCCATCTGAGGGATCACTAGCACTGCCAAGGGAGGAGCAGCAGCAGATCTACAAGCCTTTCCAAGAGATATTTTTGCCAGACACCAAACCAGAAGCCTGTGCCACACCGCAGGGAAGTGCAGACTTCATCTTCCAGCCATTTCTGACCTTCCCGTGGTTGTCTCAGAATTACCCCATCGGCACAGGCGCACATTCCCATGGGGCACCCACCCATGAGGGGTCACCCAGAGCACCAGGTCACCCAGCCCCATCCAGGCTCACTCACTTCAAGGAGAGGGAGAAGTCGTTCTTGCTGGTCTCACTGTTGCGCACCAAGTAGCTGGCCTCCTTGCACAGCCTCAGCAACGTCTCGGCATCCGTCCGGCTGATGGCCCCGTGGTACCAGCTGCAGGTGGGAGAGGAACCGGCTGTGCCAGGCAGAGAGTGGACACCCTGGGAAGGACTCTGCCCT